CCCCCCCCTTAATTTGGCTCAAATTGTGCTAAATGGTGCACTGCAGTATGAACCGGAAATACGTCAAAGATCAAGGATTATCATAATACAAGTCTATGCTTATTAAACCTGATGACGTGTCGGCTTTTTTGTCTCCCTTCCAAAAATCTAACAACCTACACGCGCCACCATTAGCATCCTAAATTGTCTACCTAAACCAGGAGTCCCCCAAACCTGTATTACCGAGGAATTTTAGGTTTGGGAAGGGGGGTGGGGTTAAAGTAAAGTCTACATGTCTTTTCAACTGTAGGTTGATTACTTATGTTTTACTTTTCATTCAACTACGGATAACCAGCCAAATAGAAAGCAAGTAATGAATCTACAAGTTTTTAAAATGGATACCCTCACCATTTTGTTCAGTATGTCAAAACACCCGTTTTTACATTGAGCCCTTCAAATCAGAAACACATTCTATTTGCATAATTCATAGAGTGTATCTTGTTGCCTACCTTTTTAGGTTTCATGTAAAGATAAAATAATTGAAAACTTTGAACGAATAAAGAAGCTATACTGTTTTTTTAAGGTGCCCCAAAACAGCGTTACAAGAATGTGCATCCGAACTAAATCAAAATATAATACAGCCTACCTTAAGATCGACTCACAGTCATCAAGTCTTGCTCGATCACCGACCGACCACGTAATGCTCAGGCTTTTTTACGAGAAAATGTTTAATGTCCCTTACAATTGTGAAAATTATCTCATTGATCGATAAGTGGAAGCCAGGCAAAGGAAATGCCAATAGGGAAATCGACGTTAATAGCGGGAGACATAATTTTGGCGTTGAAGAAATTATATGAAATTAGTCCGTATCATTGAAATAGAACCGTGATTAGTTTGCGCCATTTACCATAAATCGGCGAGTTTCATAATTATTTCGTGATGCTCAACCTAAAACGATCTATCTCAATAAGATCTTTATAAGAAATAAAGCGTTACTGTTCTAAGATGAAAGACTGCAACGGTCTCTTCCCACTTCGTCTCTGTAAATAAAACCTACTTTTATTCTAACTTAACAACTAATTCCTTATCATAATGCAAGACATTAAACAATTAAATCCACATAAAGATTAAAGATGAAGAGAAGTAAAAGTACAGTTTACAAAAGTAAATAGTGGATACAAATTCATGAAAGAAAACGGACAAAGAAAACCCTTTAAAGAGTTTGTGCGCATCGAATAATTCTCCTAAATTGTTCTGTTATTTTCTACCATTACGCAAATTCTTGTGGGTTTTTTAAAAAAGTGTTAAATGGACACGAGCACACGTAAAGGACATTAATCATATTATAACTCTAACGTAATCCTAATGTTGCTACCATTGCTACTTTGCCTTGGTAATGATGAAAGATACTGATATACAGCAGTGCAATGCTATAACAAGTTATAAAAAGTGTTTGAGATATTTAACCATAAATACTATTTTGTTTTGTAAAGGGGCCAATAAGTAACTTGTACCAAGTCAGAACAAGAACGTTCCAGAAAACGGAAATCCAGTCAGTGTTATTTGCTTCACTTCGACTACCTTCATAAACACCTTTGTGATCCTCAAGATTTCAGATTTTATCTCCTGAGAATGCACATGCCTGTTATCTGAAACAAAATTTTGAGGAACAGTGTTCTACAAATTTTCAAAAAGTTTCTGCTTCCAGGCTCAAAAATCACTTTTAATATTATGGATTTTGGGGAGCCGAATAGAAATATGATAGTGATATTCGCCGTTTAGGTCTAGTTTTCAAGATATTCAGGTTTTACTCATGAAAAATAAGGATTTGAAATGGCGATTATTGTATACCTATTTGACTCATTTTTTGTTATTGGCTTACCTCTTGTGTTGATGTTTTGGTTCATTTCTTATATCTGTCTAACCAACAACAATCTACTAACGTACTATCGTTCCATCTGCCCTGGTGTCGCTTTCTATATAGCTGCAGTGTCCTGGTGAAAAGGTTCCTCACGGTCACCACCCTCAGAACCACTTTCATAAGATCTTCCCCATCATTACGTCATACAACTAGCCTTTCGCAGTAAAAAAAAAAAAAGGCAAAACATCCTTGTCTCGCTTTTGAAATGTGCTCATTATAGTACAGTCAGCAAACAAATTCCGTTCTCTGGAGTCTTGAACCCAACAATTCTACTCTGCGTTTTGGCACCTGTAAATCTTTGAGAAGTTTTTTCAGAAGTCCATTTTGCGTAACGCTAATAGTATGAGGTATTCTTGCTAGAATCCTTTGAGCGAAAATCCGTTTTTAAAAAAAAATGTTAAAGTGCCAGTCCTTTCCTCAGAGTTATCTTCTTTCTTACCTTCAATTCAGTAGTTGTCTCTGGCTCGGCAGGAAATGGTAAACCTTTACTGCGTGGTACTGGACGTCTTGCAGATGAAATCACTAGAATCAATAGAATCAACTTTGCTCTACCGATATCTCTTAATTGAAAAAAACAAACAACTAGTAGCACATTGCAGAAATAACACTTATCTGAATGATCGCTTGGTTCAGACCTAACAGTAGGAATTGGTATTGGCTTTTGTTTTCTTTTCAACAACTGGAGAAAGTTTGTACAACGGGTAAATATTAGCATACCGCACGTTAGGAACCCAACTTTGTCTTGATCCCCAATTTCGCATCTGAAACGAGGTGATGGGACTTTTAAAGGTTGACATCGTTCTCCTTTGAGCGATATATTATGTTATTTCGCTGCAAATTAGAACAGAAATTGTCAGAATTGTTTAAACAATGATAAGACGTAATGACTACTGCTGTAGAGTAAAAGGAGCTGTTTCTGGTTCTGAATCTCTCTGTTTGCTGAGTGAAAAGAAAATGGTCACAATGAAGCAACAAAGGAAAAATGTTTTACCAGACTACTTAGAAACTGCTGATGCTTCTTTAATAACAATTTCAAGATAAAACAACATTTATTTGCAGCCTAAGTTCACTGATCACATAAGTTCTGCCCCTTGTCCCTTTTTGTTATATGAAATATATCAAGTCATTGTTATATCACGATAAAAAAGAAAAAAACAGGAAAAAATTGGACAGAAACATAAAAAATCGCGTATTAGTTTTCGAATTCAGCGCCCACAAATTAGTAAATATCAACTGGTTTCAAGCCCGAACAAATTCCTTGTAGTCCAGTGGAGTTAGAATCTAGTTACTATTTTATTAGCCAATGTATCATGTTCTATCTACAATATTATTTCTTAGGGGGGTTTTTTTTCTTTTTTGG